CCAAAATAATACTTCAAGTATTTGGTAAAACAAATGTCCTTATTAGAAAACATACTTTTTAGAAAAAAGTATACTTTAAAAAAAAACTTTTGACAAAGAAATGCATATTCTAAGAATGAATATACTCATGTATATGTGGTTTTTTTTAAATAACTTGGCTGGTTTGTGTGTGTGTGCATTTGTGTGTATGTGTAGGTAATGGTTCCCCTTGCACATATGTGCTAGTTGTTTACAGCTTTAGGGGGTGGTGCTCATGTCAGTTACAAAGCCAAACAGCCAGCGCTGTCCGAAGACGTCTCCATGGTGTGTGTGTGTGTGTGTATTAAAATGGGAGAATATGTGATTGAGAATGAATAGGATAGTCTGGCTTTTAGAGCTTTCTATGAATTCCTGTATATCAACTCTGTTATTTCTAAATTTAGAATATTTTGCTCAAGTGATTTAGAGATACAAATTCATTTAAATCAATGTATTTAAGCTTGGCTACTCCATATACATCCATGTAAAAATATAGACATATCAGTCTTTGGAACCTGTAAATAAAACAGTTCCTGAAAAGCAATTTGAACATGAGAAATGTGATGAATAATGCTAACCTTTTGTTACTTACTTTTTTTGTTGGAACTCCTGCCCTATGAGCTTTTCCTTCTTCTGGGAAAGAAATATGCACTAGGAACACTTTAGAGGAAATAGAAAAGTCACCGGTGCTCTATACCGTTCCTCTATAAACCATCATCAACTTCCACAAAGATGCGGTAGTTTAAAGAAACAACTATTACATATTAAAGAAAGATTCATTACATATAAGTGAAGCTTCTTAAAAATAATTCTGGCCTAATATTTTGCATTTACAAAATAGCTTCTGTAAGGATTTCCACAAACACTGAAATGTAAAAACAACAACACCAAAACTCACAAAGTGAAGTTTGTATCCATCAATCTTTCTGACAGGTGATTCTCTAAGATTAGCTCTTTGGCCACATTTGAGTCTCTGTAAGTCCCATTATTTCAAACAAACATTACAAGTGTCACATCTAGAAAACCAATTTGTATCACACCATACATTATCCTCTCCTCTTCCTCTGGCATAATATTCCATATTATTTTAAAATCACTTGATTTTCATTTTTTTTTTTATTATGTCAATGGCTTGAAACATGGAGGATAGCTATTTAAGAAATATATTGAAAATATTGTTGGGAAAGATTGTGATCAGTATTTACTGGATTTACACTTCATCTGGGAGTCTTTAATACCTAATAAAGTTGTAGAGTAATATCACTAGGAAAAATTTAGTAGAAAGGACTTACTTATTTAGGACTTAAAAGTAATTTAGGACTTAGAAGTAAAAAACAAAGTGGTAATAGAATTCTGCCCTATGTAAATACACTTAAATTGATAATGAAAATATTATTTTTAATTTTAAAAAACTAGACTTAAGATATAAATTGGATGATTTTAAGATGTCATGAATATCTATTTTCCCTTTATTTAAAACATTTAAACACATTTGTTTGTACATAGATCTTTTGCTTTTCTGTGTTATAAAGGCATATGGAAAATGTAACTGACATTTGTGATACTGTTTTAAAAAGAAGGTTGGAGAAAATATCTGAGTTTAATCAATTGGGCATGGATTAATTGAATAATTCCTGAATTTAGGGATTAAAGAAAAGGTGTTAAAAACCCATTCAGATGATATTTTGTACATTAGAAGGATCATTCATTGAACCATGGTCAGTTCCAGTGGTGGGATTCAAATTTTTTTACTACCAGTTCTGTGGGCGTGACTTGGTGGGCATGGCTTGGTGGGTGTGGCAGGGGAAGGATACTTCAAAATCCTATTCCCTCCCCACCCCACTAACCTGCTTTCCAGCTCCCTTCTCCTATGCAGGGCAACAAAAGAAGACCCAGCCATCAGCTGGGACTCTGGAGGCAGAGAATAGATGGGGACAGGGCCAGTCAGAAGTGGTATTTGCCGGTTCTCCGACCTATTCAAAATTTCCGCTACCAGTTCTCCAGAACTGGTCAGAACCTGCTGAATACCACCTCTGGTCAGTTCCAATTATTTGAACTTTGCTGTGTACTGAATTTTCAAATGCTGAATATATATTATTCTAATATGGAATGCATTTCATCTTTAATTCAACATTTCAGTTAAATTTGCCTTGCACCTGCTAGCATTCCAGAAGTTCTAACTATTTCTGAATTTTTTTTTACATTTTTACTTGAAATTATATTAGTTCAGTGAAACTTTGTATGTAAGCACGCAAACATATTACGCTCAGTTTCCACATTTCCTCTACAGATATGTATATCATTTGAATTAAAGCAATCAAGTGCTTGCATGCTTGTAGAGGAAATGAATAAATGTCAAAAAGAAGACCATTCATATTTAAAGCAATATTCCCATGCCTTTAAAAACTACAGGAGAAGGTACAATTTTGTGTGCATAGCCTTCTGTCCTATATTTTGCCAGTCTTCAAAACTGACTAATTGGAATTAGCATCAAGCAAACTTCAGGAAGGGCCCCCAAATCCTTTTATGTAACCCCCAGAATTCATGGCAGTGAATTTTAATAGGAAGGCATATAAAATGGAGAAATCATTTTATATTATATCATACATACATACAATACATACATACATACACACAATGTGTATATATACACATACAAAATATGATATTTTTAAAAGCTTCCAAAAGACAACTCAGAAATATTGTCCATTTGGATGACTTCACCATTATTGTTCTCTCTTCTTTAGTATATTTTAGAAGTAGAATGATAGAGTGATATTGAATCCAAGTTCAATTCTCCATGCTGTACATTTGTACAACATTCTCCAAGTTCCTAGATATATTCAATCACCATTTCCGCCATCATCCCAAAGGATGGACATGCTGGTTGGGAAGAATGAAAAGACAACCCTCAATGCCTGAATACCACCATTTTGAGAAACTTTCTAGACTGATGCAATTGGTTAGAATGTTTGAAGGGCTTACATGAATTTTCTATATTTAGATAAATGTTTTCTATGTGCTTGGGATTTCTTTTAGGTTTGGTCAAATTGTATGTCTTTCATTAAAGTAAAATGGGCATTGAAATTATCCAAATCATTCAAACTGATAGAACTATCAACTAGTGGTTTTAAGATAAAAGACAGAAATGAAATCTTTTATTTTATTTGGCTGAGGGTGTGTGGCCTTTCTTTATCGGGCAGGACTTGAACAACAAAAATCAAAGAGATTGTATGTAGGATTTAAAAGAGATGAAACATTTCATACATAGTCTTTCAAAATATATCATATTTACTCAAAGAAATTAGAAAGTGATCAGGTAAACAGACAGTTTTAAATTAACAGCATTTTAAAAATGTAATCTAAAAAGCACTCAAAGAGATGTCTTTGCAACTTCCATGCTGAAATGTCTTTCAGGCTTCAGGGCAGGGTTAGAATTGTCTTGCTGCAGTTTGCATATTTTTCAGGAACTTTGTCTGTAGGTACACATTTTAAAAACAACACAGCTGAGTTCCGTTCTGTTGTATTTAACTGTTGTACCTGGACAAATCCAGTTGCTTGTGTTGTACCTTCAGAGTCAGAGGTGTTTCAAAGCCAAGTGGGCTGGTAATGAAGGTATAAGATTAACTTTTTCTGCTGTGCACCTGTTCACCCAGCCAACAAATAATGAATGAGGATAAATTACACTTGGCGAGACAGAAAGATTCCAGTTATTTAGCACAGGTTTGAAATTGGAAACTGGCCAAAAGATGGATGGTTTCATTTAAAATACAAACAAGCCTGATAAATATGTAAATAATTCGGTTTGTGGCTTGCCTGTTTTTACTTTATTGTTATTAGCAAGAATGGTCCTAGATTCAAAATGATGTTGAGAGAAGAAAGGGTTATTATTTTTTTTGTAGCTTACATCTTTGACCATTTTGGTTTCCAGACCAATTAAGGGATCAGCGACAGTGGTAGGATTCAATTTTTTTTACTACCGGTTCTGTGGGCATGGCTTGGTGGGCATGGTATGGCATGGTGGGCATTCTCCTAACTACTCAAAATTTCCACTACTGGTTCTCCAGAACTGTTCAGAACTTGCTGAATACCACCTCTGATCAGTGAAGTGTTGTGCTGAGGAGTGGAGTTATGTGTTACAGCTTACTTGATAAGTTTGCTGGATGGCCTTATCCAATGTGATGGAAATATCAGATGATAACTATAAGAAGATTGAAGATTGAATTTGGT